AACCCGGGGTCCCGGCGGTGGGGCCGACTGGGGCTGTGGGTGCCCAGCACCTCCAGTGCCCAGCCGTTGGGGGGCCTGGAGAGGAACAGGGGTGTTCACATGCCCGTCTCTGGTGGGAAACCCCTGGGAAGGGGAGGACCGCCACGCTGGGGGGGCCATGCAGCCAGGACCGGTGGCGCAGCATATCCCAGCTCTGTCGTAAGCCTGTCCCCAGGGGACTGTCCCCATCTCCATGTGGAGACTCTCCCCATCCTCCCACTTCCCCACTCCCCACACAGGGATCAGGGCGCCCAGGCCAAGAACAAATCATGCATGGGTCTCACCAGCAAGAGACAAGAGGCGCAAACTTCCCATGCTCAGGAGATGCTTCAGGCCAAAATCTTGCACCTAGGAAAGAAAAAGGAGTGGGATCCCGGCTCCCAGCATGACGCCAACCAGGAGGTGTTCGCCTCTTGCGAGCGCCTCCGCAGCAGCTGGGAGCTGAGCCTCGCCGGGGCCCAACCCTCGCTGGGAGCTGAGCTTTGCCGTCTGGGGGCAGGGGAGGAGGGCAGCCTGGAGCATAACGGCATGGGGAACCCCCATCCCTCCTCCGTTTCCCAGCACCAAACGGCTCCTGGTGCCAGGCAGGCTCTCCGGCCAGCCCAGCGGGCTCATGCAGCCCATCCCGGGAGGGTATGTGAAGAAGGTGGGTTGAGCCATGCCGTAGGAAGGAGATGTTCCTCTCCTGTGCCCCCCTTGCCGGTCAGGTGAAGGAGACACGTCTGCGGGCCCCCCGGCACAGGCAGCACGAGTGTCCTCATCCCTCCTGCGCCCCACCGCCTACCTGGCAGCACCAGCGCAGGTACAGGCTCCGCAGGGACGACATGGTGGACAGGTAGCTGAGGCCAGTGTCGGTGATCCGCACACACCTGCCGGGGAAAACGGCATCAGGGCTGGCCGTGGCCACCAAGCCGGGGGAACAGCACACCGCTGGGACCCGCAGGGAGCTGAGGAAGGGCAGTCCCCCCAAAAACAGGGACCTTCATCGAGGGGGTGGTGTGCTGCTGGCTGCCAGAGCATGGCTGGATCCTCGGCAGGGGAAGGGCAATGCCCCCCAGCAGCACTTTACACCCCTCGAGCCCTGCAGAGAGACCCACGTTCCAGGCTGGCCGTATCCCAGCCCCACAACCCATAGAAGGAGCTGTGGAGTCCTGGGTCAGGCCGTGACCGTCTCACCACACACGTAGCTGTCCCCAGAACGCGGTGCCGGGGCACAAGGCAAGACCCTGGCCTTGCTCCCGCAGCCCTGCTCCCGCCCTGCCATGGCCCCTCACCTATCGAGCACCAGCTCCTCCAGCTTGTGCAGGTCGCAGGCGATGTACTCGAGGGCCATGTCCGTGATGCGAGGGCACCAGGACAGGTCGAGGCTGCGCAGCTTCCGTAGGTTCTCAGCCACCAGCTCCACGCCGTCGTCCGTCACCTTGGAGCAGCCCGAGAGGCTGAGGACACTCAGGTTGGGCAGGCTGTGCACCATGTTCACCACGCCGTGGTTGGTGATCTCCCAGCAGGAGTTGAGGCGGAGGGTGTGGGTGGTGTAGCCCTGCTTGGCAGTGAAGTAGGCCAGCGCTGTGTCCGTCACGTGGTAGGCCTGCAGGTTGAGCTCGGTGAGGTTGGGCAGGAGCTGGGAGATGGCCGCAATGGCGTCGTCAGCCACGTTGATGCAGTCACTGACGCTCAGCGCCGTGATGCGGGCGTTGAGGCTCGACCACAGCCCGGCCTCCGTGAAGTCGTTGCAGCCCGACAGCTCCAGTCGCACTACACCCTGCATCTGCTCCAGCATCACCTGGCGAGAGGCTTGCGGTCAGTGCAGGCAGCACCCCTTCTGCCCCAGCCCTCCTGCAGAGCTTCCCACACAAGTGCCAACACTCGCCCACACGCTGCCGTGCCAGCGGGGCTCAATGAGGTGCCTTCGCACCCCTGCGGTCTTGGTAAGGCTCTGAATTAACTCCCATGTCCCCCTGAGGCTCTTCCACCTGCCACCAGCCCTTTGCCCTTCCAGCCTTCTCCCACTCCCAGTGGCTCACAGTTCCCTGTGGCCCCATGAACATCGGAGTCGGACCACAGAGGTTCATCCTTTTCAGCCTCCTCACAGGGCCTTGTTTTGCCCCTGCTCCCAGCACCTCCGGAGCTGTCCCCAAGCTGATGGGACATGTCAGCATCAGCAGGGTGATGAAAGGGGGCATCTACAGAGGCCAGGGAGCTCCAGGGAGCAGCACCTGCTCTTCAGGTGCATGTTCCCTGCTCGGGGAGGACATGGCCCAGGCGGCATGGAAGAACATCCCCTCTGGAAAGGATCACATAAGAGAGGTGGAAAGATGTCCTGCACACCATGGCACCCAAGAGAAGGGACACAGACTGCGAGCCAGACCTGGCAGAGCTCCCCGAGTCTGTGGCTGAGAGCAGGGGCTCCCAGCACAACCTGGGATCTGCAGGATTCAGGCACCTGCCTGCTTTTTCTCAAGGCCTGAAGCAAGGCTGGATAAAGAAGAAGAAAAGGTGGGCATGCGGGATTAGTTACTGCAGTGCAGCTGATGAGTGGTAACTCACTGGACTGAAGTAATTTAATCACGCGTGATTGGGGTTCACATCCTCCATTTAGCTGGGCTTGGCTTTTATAAGTCTTTCACATCTGTTTCCATTAAGAGCTTTCGTTAACACAAGCGGTAGCTGTGTGTCCCTCCCGTGGCAAATGCTGTGGCCGGGCTGGGCTGCGGCAGGACTGCACCAGCGAGGCCATCAGTCCCCCAGGCCTCTCAGGGAGGGCATTGCCATGCTGGGCAGGCACCAGAGAGGATTAAGGAGGAGGCAAAATAAAACCCCACCACAGATCTTCCCCCGGGCCAGGAGGGGACGTCTCTATGTCAAGGATGGAAGAATCCCTCCTGACTAGAGAAGACTGAACAGCACTTGGACAGGATGCAGGGCCAAGTGGTGGGAAGGGATTGACGGCCGAGGAGGAAATGGTTGGCCTGGAGGGCGCTGCCGCTGGAGAAGGTGCTCCTAGGGAGTGGGATGAAGATAAAGAGCACTCCCGAGGGCAAGGGGTCCATGCCAGGCCCCAGCAGTGATACCAGTATCCCATCAGGGTGATTTGTGGGGGCTGCGAGGGACAGCAGTGCAGCTAGCCCAGTGGCTAACCCCTTCCCATGCGAGGAAGAGGCTGGAGTAGGACACACACCCCTCCTGCAAGTGCTGCAGACACCTACCTCCAGCCCCGCGTCCGTGATGGTAGACCTCTTAAGGCTCATGGACTTCACCCCCTTCTTGGATAGGGGGTAGTTGTCAATGAACTCACAAATGTCCAGGTCGGAGACGCCCACGAGGCAGAAGCCGTCGAAGCCCCGGACGGCAAAGCCCTGGAGGCTGACGAACTCCTTCTCGCCGCCGGGCAGAATGTTGTAGAGCTCTTTGGTGTGCAGGACGGGTGTGAGGCCCACCCAGAACTTGGGCTGGTACAGGACCCTCCGCCACACCTTGCACACCTGCGCCAGCACACACTTCTCGCAGGCCGAAAAGTACCAGAACAGGCGGTTGAGGATCTTCTCGTCCACCGCCAGCTGCCTCTCTGAGGGAGAGCCGGGGAGCCCGTCCCGGGGGGGCTGCTCCTTGCTGGGGCAGGCCTCGCTCGAGTTCAGTCCCACCAGAGAGGCGCTCGGAGGGGACGACACCCCAGCCAGAGTGGCCAAGGACAGGGGCGATGCCAGGCTGGGTATGGGCAGGTCGCTGTGGTTGGCTAAGGCCGGGCTGAGGATGGCAGGCACGGAGGAAGGCTGGCACAGGCGGTTTTTCACGGCGGGGGTCCCTTTGGTGATGCTGGCGGAGCCGAGTCCGTTGGGCTGCGTGGGGATCTTCACCAGTCCATTGCGGGGCAAACATGGGGGCTTGGTGTCGCCGTTTCTCTGGTTCGACATCTTCCACGGGTCTCTCTGCAACACAGGGGTGAGGGGTGAGGAGTGAGGAGCTGCCACGGGTGCCCAGCTCCCTTGCTGCCAGGAACCACAGAAGGGGGCAGGGAGAGGAGGCAGGGGCTAAGGGGGGATGTTGGCTCACTGACAGGAGCCGGGGGGAATGAGGCATCTGGCTCATCCCGACAGAGAGCCTGTGCAAGGAAGAAGGGAACCAAGGGTGGTGCCTTTTCTCTGTCACCTCCCAAAGCACCCTCTGAACCGCAGCTAGGACACTGGCAACCCTCCCACCTCCCTCTGCCACCATGGCCATCCTGCAGTCTCAGCAGGCACCGGGCGCTCAGCCGCAGGCAAGCAGGCACTGCCCTGAGAGCCGATGTGATGGATGCGTCAGGGCTGGCAGATTCAAAAGGCACCCGGTGGTGCTCAGGGCAGAGCTGGATGCTGCCTGGGCTGGGTGAATGGGCTGCCCTAGCTGGCAAGGCCTGGGGCAGAGCCAGGTGCTACAGCTGCCTTCACTCAGCTTTGGGGAGTTGGCTTTGTGGGCTCAGCACCCTCATGGGACGGCGGGGAGCAGGGACCACCCCTGCCAGGCCAGGGGTAGAGTTGGAGGAGACCTGGGTGGCACAGAGCTGTGAGAGGCCCGGATGCTGCATGTGACCAGTGTTGGGCTGGGCACAGCCCAGGGAACAGAGCAGTGTCCTCTGAGGGACTGCGTGGCCCAGGCACATGCAGTGCCCCAGCGGTGAGAAGAGTTTGTCCCCAGATGTTCCCTGCAGGCACATTAATCTATGAGCCGCGTTCTGCGTTGTGCATCGCTTCATTGCAGGTGCTTTGCAAGTGCGAGGATTGAATCCACGGATTCACATGTCCCTCACCCACCTCCCTGAGACAGGAGCTGGAGCGGCCCCGTGAAGCACATGTTGGGGCTGTGATGGAGGACACAGGGACCCCTGCCAGCTGCCCTGGGACATCCCACCTCAAAAGCACCCCCCCCTAGAAATTCCCCACATCAGTCCTGGCCCCGCTCAGTAGGGGCAGATCCCAGGGTGACACACCGGAGGGGCTGCAGCACCCCTCAGGGCAAATCTGAGCAAAAAGAGCAGATCCACATCATCCCAGCAGCACAGGAAACCCCCCACAAAGGCCCAGATGGGGATGTGAGACCACTCTGCTCCCCCAGAAAGTCTAGCCTGGGTAGGGAGGGAGAAATAAAGTCCTATGTGAAGGAGGGATGGAGGAGGGAAGAAAGGAGGGAGGGAGGCAGGGAGGGAATGGGCACCCTCACAGCAGGGTGCGTAGGAAGAGCTGGTAGGCAGGGGAGAGGGAGAGGAAGAAAGGATGAAACAGAGCTGGTGCAGGCAGGGAGATGGGTGCCCGCATGTGCCAGCGGGGTGGTGGATGGCAGAGCCTATGCTGGCTGGGAGCTGAGGCTCCCAGCAGCCCGTGAGCCAGGCGGCACCACAGCAAACCAGGCCAATAAATATTTCAGCTGCAGTGAAGCAGGCTTTCAAACAGTCCCGCCGCACCCCGTGATGCATTATTAAACACATTTCCCTTTATAAATATGGATGTAAATAATTGATGGGGTCTCGGTCCCTCCTGCCCAAGCCGGAGCCTGTCCTGTGGCCCTGCTGGTGCCATGCCAAGTCCTCCCGGCACCCACAGCCCGTCTGCCTGGCAGCGCCCTGCTCCGGTGGGCTGCACCCCACAAACAAGCAGCTGGCGTGGAGCCATGCCCTGTGCAGATGCCAGGCTCCGCGGTGCCAGCTGGCTCCCCAGGAAGCACCGCTCGCCCAGCAGGGGCGGCTCTGCCCTGCCAGCAAACCTGCGGCTGGCCCGCTCCCGGGCAAGGCGCAGGAAGCACTCGGCTGCCTGGGGAAGGCAGTTCTCACCAGCAAGGACTCTGCTCCCTGCTTACTCCGGTGGGCCCTGAGGCCAAGTGCCTCCTGGAGCCCCACTTCATCCCCTTTCCACCTGCTTGAGGCAGGCAATGGGGCCGAGATGAAGCGACTGCGGGTGGCGCAAGGCAGGGAAAGGATAGAGGGCGTGAGCAGCCCAGCTGGGCTCAGAGACTGGCAGGAGACAGAGACAACCTCCCCCAACACCCAAGGGATGGACGCTGTTCAGTGAGTGACTGTGTTTGGCTGGCACATCCATTCAGTGGTGGCTAATGGGACCTGAGGACACTCTCTGTTGCCAGCTCCCCCTGGACCCAAGATAAAAGCCAGGAGTGAAGCAAGGCAAATGTTTTAGCCACTTGATTTGAGATGGAGACAGTGGGGCCCTGATGGAGGGGAGCCTGGCAGAAGCAGAGGAGGAGCAGGCAGATGGCTGTAGTTGTGTTCCTGTGTCCCAGGGAAAGTGTCCTTGTTACGCTGAGGGCACTGATGGACCAGTGTTATGGCTGATGAACCAAGGACCTAGCACATGTGATGGTCATGGTATGGAAACAGTGGGCTTATGAGGATGATCTGTGTCCAGCGGACAGTGTCCTACTGAGCCTGCCTCCCAGGGCTGTGCCTCTGCATCCCTCCGCGCAGACCAAGGGCTGTGACTGGAAAGCAGAAACCAGGCAATCTCCCTTCTTGTCCCCTGCCTGACACATCTGACCATTGCTTTTACCCTCCCAATGCCCAGTGTGGCAGCCAACGCTCCCGGACCAACCAGGAGAGGAAACCACCTGAAATGAGCAGTGGAAGAGACCAGTAGTGCAGGCAGCTGAGCTGTGTGGTCCAATCCATGACTATAAACACCACAGGGTGCACACATATGCAGTATATCCCAGGGACTCACCACCCAGCACACCAGGGATGTGGGACTGGGGAGTGGTGGTAAGGCAATCAACACTGAGCTCTGGCCTCCTTCCAGGGATCTGGAGTAGTTTTCTGACCATTTAGTGAGCTGAACTGCCTCACTGGAGCCAGCAGCCAGAGGAGAAGTGCGAGGGAGGAGGCAAGGCTGTGCAGAAGGCAGTGAAGGGAAAGGAGATGGGGAAAGCAGGACAACAGCAGCAGTGGGCTGGTAAACTTGATCGCCTCTCCCGTGCTGCAAGCAGCAATGATATGGATGTGCCTGCAGACAGCCCAGTGGCATAACATCGGTGCCATCAGCACCTTGAGACACCATCCTCCAGGGATGGGGCCAACCCTGTGCAGACAGTCTGCTGCCACTCCTCTCTCAGATCCAGCCTCTGCTGCCTACACTGCCCTACAGAGGATTTGGGGCTCTCGTGCTTGGACGTGTGTTAAGTTTGTTTGGAAGCAGGAGAAGAGGAGGGGAGAAAAAAGGAAGAAACTTAAAACCGAGCTTGGCAGCAATTAGGGAAGCAAACAGAACATGCACCAGGGTGTCTAACACAGCAATACAACACAAATCAAAACAGATAATTACCACACAGCACAGAAAGGCTGTTGCTCCAGCACAGAGCCCATGGTGAGAGCAATTCACCCTGCCGGCTGCCTGCTGGGGAGAGGCCAGGTGGTGGGAGAGGGGCAGCCCAGGGCCTCAAGACATGGGAGAGCAAGCAAGGAGTATGGAGGCTCCTGCAGGGGACAGTCACAGGAGGAGACAGATGCTAACAAGTCCTCAAACTGAAATTCAGCTAGTGGGAGGTGCTGGCAACAGTTACATCCTGCTCATACCTGGGTTCATCTTCAAGGCAGGGCTCAGAGGGATGAGAGACTTTCACAGTCCTGTCTTGGAAAGCTGAGTCAGGTCCCTCTGTCCCAGGCTAAGGCTGTTTGTCTGGCTCATAGAAAAACCATGAATGAGCTGAGAAGTCCCTCCACATGCATCTCCACATGCTTTTTGGTCACCCCAGAGCAGCAGGAGAGCAGAGATCCATCATTCCCTCTTGTCCCTATCATTTCACTGTTTGCAGATTGTGTGGCTGGACCAACAACAATACCATCAGAAGGAGTGTTTAACACTTCCTACAGCCATCCTTGTCCTGGGATCCCACAAGAAGGAGCCAGCTTTGGCAGTCCCTCATAGCAACCCCCCTCTACTCTCTGCAGGCCACACCTCACAGGGTTAGCATGGGGCGCCAGCTCCCAGTCCACAGTGGGAGAAAACCTGACAAAAGCAAAGGGCAAAGCCTTTCAGCCTCCTAAATTAATTCCAGGGTGCACACTTCACAGAAAATGTCATTGCCAAAGAAGTCACTCCATTCATGAGGTTTCTCTCACCCACAGTGACTGTCAATGGGGGTGGGGGCAGCTCTTGACTCAGGAAGTGAGGAGAAAGAAGAAGGTCAAAGAGCCTGTCACTACAAACATCACACGGGTAATGAAGATGTCAGGAAAAACAAGATGAAAGCCGTCAGGAAGATAGACCTGGTAGAGGCCATTGGCGAGTTTTACTGACTCAATGTGGCAGTAAAGGGCGATGAGAGACTCAAGAGATGAGCAATAACATCAGTCGCCCTGTTAATGCCGCCCCCGTACTGGCTGTTTGCTGGGGGCACCCCTGCCTGCAGGGAGTGAGATTTTCTGGGACAGACCGCCGTCCCACTGCACCTGGGCTCGGGGGTTAGCGGGGACCCCGGCCCTGCTCGCCTGCCA